AATTCCTTCTTCCCTGATGCCCATATTCGAGAGGAGGATTTAAAATTTGAGGTCTCTAGGTACCTTTGTTTTTTCACAGTGCGAGAATACATACATACATACATGCAGATTCTTCATTATTTAATTTATTTAGTACAGGGCTCTAATATTTGGTGGCAACAATTTGAAAAGTGAAACGCCGTTTTATAATGGACAAGGCAGAATGCCTAAACAAAATTAATAGCCCTTCTGGACCAATTGCCCCTTTGTTCTAATAAGCAATTTTTTTATATAAAAACATGTTAATGGTATTAATTACTTTTAAGATCAAAACATTTTCTTTAAGTTTTTTGAAGTTGTCGTAGCCAGTTATTTCTTTCATATCTGTAGAATCTATCATGCAACTGATTAAGTAATGATTTGCTCCAATTACTATAAGCAAATAATATAGAGTTTAGAATTAATATTATCCAGGTGCTATAACAACAACATTATTATTTGAATAATAAATTAGACTTGAATAATAAATAAAAAAAAAGGTTATGAAAATGTTAAAATATTTTGTTAATTTAATTTAAATATAGGTTGTAAAAGTTAGTTTTAAATTAAAAAATAAGTATGAAAGACAACAAATTTGGTTTTAGTTATGATATTTGCAGCATAAACACAATTTGTGATTGCAGTTTGATAGAGCACACTCAGACAGCTATTTATTTTTAAAATAATAGAAAATAATTAAACTTGGTTCTTCAAAAAATGTTTCAGGCTACGTTTAATATTTCGATTAAAATAAATGACTACTCAAAATAATGAATAGAGGCTTTAATTATTTTCGAAATGGTAATATTTATATTTAAATAAAACTTATGATTTACCTTATTTACACAGGATCAAGAAATGTAGAACATAGAAAACCCTTGTTAGGCGGCCCGCAAATAAGAAAGATCCTATAGAAAATCGAATGGCAGCATCTTTGAGAACTGACAATTTGAAGACTTAGTTTATTTTCAGACAAAGCGAAGAAGCTATTAAAGTATGTAAATAATAGATATTTCTAAAAATAAATTAAAAGATAATACTATTATATTTTGCCTTGGCTGTCTCACTGCTGCTGATGAAGAAGTTATTTTTCCGCACACGGTATTTTTAACACTTATGAAGTTGAATCTGTTATTTTACACTGTTATGAAGGCCGGAGAGGGAATCAGCTTAGTTCAGTTCAGAGTTTAGCTTAGAGATTGAGAAATCACTATGAAAATTTACACATTTTAGACTTTATGTATTGTCTTGTGTTTAGTACTTAGTCCTTAGTAGTTTGGTAACTACATGATTGTGCTCTGTCACTCTGAGAAAAGCTATTAGAGTAGTTTTGTAGAATGTTCCAGAACTGTAACGTGTTTCGTTTTTCTAAAATAATTTTTTTATCAGGATATCCTCAATTCTGTGTGCATTCAATCCTTTACGAGCCCGTGCGCACGTAACATTACTTCTCGTAATCTAACTCGATACTTCGTAATCTAAATTATAAATCTAAGCAATAATGATTGGGTGTTTATAATGCCTATTAATTGTTGTTATTTGTACAACCAACAGCAGAAAATTAGGCATTCAGTGCGTGGAATTTTGTTTGTTGTAATTTCTACTAATATATATTACTGCTGGAATAATAAAAATGCTAAGAAGTAGTACTGATGCTTTAAGTATCTTTCTCTCATTTCCTGATATGTTACTAGTTTTTAATAGTAAATAGTATTTATTTAATTGGTGCTAAGCTTTGGTTAAAAATGAATGTATAGTACTGTTTTTCTCAGATCGAAAGGTGCTACCAAACAAAGAGAAAATCCTCCTATTTTGCAAAAGTGCCTTAAAATTCTGTTCAGCTGTTAAAAATGCAGTAGTAATCAATTAAGATATAAGATATTTATCCTTCCTTTCTGCATGCCTTCGTGGTGCAATTGGAAGCACGCTATTCGAGAGGTCCAGGGTTCGAGTCCAGGAGAGGGCACTGCGGATTTCCTCAATTTCCTGACATCGAAAAATTTTAGATTTCTCTATAAGTGGCGCTCGAATTAACATGTGTTGGAAGATATTTCGTCATCCCTAGGATTTGGCCTTTGGATCCCCTTACTTCCAGTCGTCCTTTAAAAAAATAGCAGTTTATAATGTATTTTCTGTCTCCTTTCCGCATACCTTCGTGGCCTAATTGGAAGCCTACTCGACGCATATACGAGAGGTCCAGGGGTCGATACGATAGAGGATACGAGGGTCATTGTACATTTTTCACGGCACCAGCATTAAAAAAATCATAATGACTCTGCAAAGATTAAATAGTAATTAATTATGTTTTTATTGTAGAAGTTTTGTGTTTTGCTAGTAAACGAAATACGAAATAAATAAACAGAGTATCTAAAATACTGAAAGTTTTCTCCAAAAAATTTATCTTTCTGACTTATGTTGCATAACACAGTCAGTCAGGTAAAGAAAATGAAGAAATATAAATTAAAAGAAATAACTTACACCAGCAACACGTTTGAGTATGTATAAGAAATTAATTTTTGAATAACGCTGATGCAAAATTCGCTTAATTCAAAATTATGTAATTTGAAACTTTAGCCTATTACGTAGTTCGAAATTTTTAGCTTAATATTGGCCTTTGAAGTCCATAAAATTAACCCCTTGGTGAATATATATCTTAATAGTACCTCCAAGTGCACTTAGAAGAGTCTCAAGTAGTTATAACCGCTCTAGAAATACACTTAAATTCTCAAATTAATCTTCAGGAGTTATTTGAAACCTGTTGTGTATACCTTGAGAGCCATTTGCAAATTTCAAACATCCCTCCTTGCACGTATTTTTTCACTCCCAAAAATCTTTCCCCACACCCTCAATCAATTTAAAAAAGGGGGATGTTTTAAATGGTTGTCCTGTAACACTAATCACCACTTGGGGGAGGTAGAAGCAATTGTGACAATTTTTTCCTCCCTTGCCACACCCATAAGACACTTTTTTGTTTTTTACAAACAGATAAAAATGTATTTTTTTTTTCTGCCCACAAAATTTTTTTTCAGTATCGTATCATAATTTAGCTTGCTTCTAGGTGGTGAAGACTATGATGTTAATGGAAAGACATAGAGTAAAAAAATATGTCCTCACCATGGTGGGGAATTTTTTTCTCTCCGTATTTTTTTCCCTATGCATGCGCTTGAGCAAGTGAGACGACTCATTTGAATATTGATTCTTTTAGTGCGAATTAAGCCATCAGGTAAGAGTGTCTGTAATAAGGGGATACATCCTCTACTCAGGTTCTATTTTTTTATTATTTAGACATTAAAAATGTAAGGAAAAAAGTTTTTTTCCCATCCTCTTACATTAGCAAAAAATACTGTGGGCTCAGAAAATTGTGGCAGTCGTTAGGAATGTTTCAATTTTTCTTTCATTTTTTTTAATATTATCTTCCTAAAAAGTTCTAGTACGGTTGTAAATTCTATAAAAAGTGCTTTTTCATATTTTTAATTGAAATTAAATGATTATGTGCTTAAATTCGGTAAACACAGTGATTTACATCCTTTATTAAATGAACGTCTTATAAAATTAAAAATTTTAATTGTTATTTCGATGGTAATTACAACCTACAGTAATGGAACTATAGTTGAAAAAATGTTAAAAAACTCTTTACATTTTCTTAGTGTACTCCTATGGCTTTTGATGTTTTATTTATTTGTTCTTCATGAAATCTTATAAAGATATTATTACCTCAGGATTAAATGTTTTTCGTAATTTTGCGAAGTAGTATAGTTAACTTTTTCAATAATTTTCTAGTTCTTAATTTTTATTTATAAAAGTACATGGAAAATTAAAATGTGACATTGTTGTGTAAAAAGAAATTTTTAGATTGTGTTTTTAAACAGAAAAAAAAAAAAAAAAAAGGTTTACTGCTTATACAATGCTATGATCAACAGATGTTAAAACTATAGGACTTTACTTGATCTGCAGAAGTTAAATAGACCAAAACCCTAACAGATATAAAGCAAATTATCGAAGTAACTAGAGGGACTTGGAATAGATTAAATACAAGTTTAAATACAATATACAAATAAACTTTTTTTATTTAAACAGAACTTAGAATATCAATGCACCTTCTTGTGTTAAGAAAATCAACCACAACTCTTGGTAACGCAGCTAAAGGAACAGTCAAATTCAAATTAAAACATGAATTAATAGTCAAAGACTACACAATCAAATTTTAAACTAAGCTGTCTTAATAACTCTACAGGCGTAATAAATTCAAATGTCGGCAGCGATAATGCAAAGCCCAATAATTACAAACTTATCAGAGATGGCAGGAACTAGCGTAATGTGCTGTAGAGAGGCAGAAACATGCCCTGTCTTGCAAAAGAAAAACTTCAGTTTAAGTACTATCTAACGGATTTGCATTCTGGTGAGAAAACGGAAAGAGACACTACAGTAAAGGTTGAAATAATAAATAACTAGTTAGTTTCAAATAATAACTTTATGAACTTATATATCCTTTTCTGTTTGTTGTAATAAAAGTGATATAATTTTATATTCAACTTTTTTACCATTTCTTATTTATTATAACAATACATAAATTTGGTTATAATATCATTTTTATTTTACATTTCCCATCGATAATTTGAGGTTACTCCTTTCTCAACTCTTATTTAACGAAGTCCCGCCCAGTTTTGTCCTCTAGGGCAGCGTTTCTGAGTTGATGTCGCTTGGAGTTAACATTGTTCGGCTAAAAATTTTTCGGAATCCCTTTGGCCCAAAAAATAAATGTGAATAGTGAAATCATATGATAAATGTGTGACTAATACTTAGTACATGCTCAGTATTTATATAACTTTTTTATAGGTTAATTTCAAGGTTCTCCCAAAAGGAAAAGATTGAGAAGCATTGCTGAAAGTGTGCTATTGAGCAAGCTATTGGGTGTCTCATTTTAAATCTTGTAGACACATGGTATTTTTTTTTTGGAAGCAGGAAAGATGAAAAATTAGCAACGCCTTCGCCAGGAATCGAACCACGGACCTCTGAAATGCCGGCTCAGTGTGCTGACCACTACACCACGAAGGCACGCTAGGAAGACGGGAGAAATACCTTATAATCTTTTTACATCTCTCGCAAAGCACGCACGCGTAACGTTGTTCGTTTAACTCAGTGGTCTTCAAACTGCATTCCGCGTAACCCTAGAATTCTGCATATAAAACAGTTGGGTTCCGTAAATCAAAATATAAATTCGTCATGTGACATATGTCAAAGAGAATGACGGGCAATGCCTTGCAAAAGTAAACAATTTTCTAATGGAAAATGAATTACATTTAGAGGAGCGTGTTAAAAATTATATAATGAAGCACCTTTTTCAGTTGAACAAAACTGTAACAGACTATTTCCCAGAAGAGTATGACTGGATCAAAAATCCGTTCGAGTAACACGATAAATCGGAAGGCTTGCCAGAGAAAGATAGGGGGACAATTTATCGACACATCAACAGATTCGACGTAAAAATTTGAATTTAAGCAAGAGCGGCTCCTAAAGTTTTGGTTACAGATTCAGGCAGAATACCTAAGTTTCTCACACGGTTACAGCCGAAAACATCGCGGACGAAAACGTCGCAGAGAAAACAACGCAAGACGAAAACGTCGTGTACAAAACATCGTGGGAGAAGACATCGCAAAGAGAAAACATCGCAGTTCTATGACATCGTGGTACAAAACATCGTCGTCGAAAATAAAGCGGTTCAAAAACTTCGCAGTTTGAAAACATCGTCGTCGAAAATATCGTGGTAAAAAATAAAGTATCTACAAATCATCGCATGACGATAACTTCGCAGACATGCTTTTGTCAGGCTTTAATAACTGTAAATAGATATTCCCATAATAATTTGTGAGCGCAAGATGTAAAGAAGTAAAGATGTAAAGAATGTGAAAGTATGTTAAGCGCAAGATGTAAAGAATGTGAAAGTAATTTTTACTTTCACATTTTTTTATTAACTAATAAATTTTTGCTGAAAAAAGTAAGAAGGAAGCATAAGCATAGAAAATTAAATGCAACTTCTAGATTATAATTTTTATGAAAAATTACCAGTAAAAACTTTATAAAAAATGATTTATTAATGGTCTTTGTTGGTTAACTATGTCGGTTTAAAATTCTATTAAGTGCTATAAATTGCATTACTTAAGCATAGTAATTTTCTGTGCTTCTTAAGTTTCCTTCTTATTTTTCTCAGCAAAATTTATTAGTTAATATAAAATATGAAAAACAAATTATCCTTGTTTCTATCTTGCGCTCACAAAATTATTATGGGAATATCTATTTACAATTATTAAAGTCTGAAAAAAGCATGTCTGCGATATTATCGTCACGCGATGATTTGTAGATACTTTATTTTTTACGACGATATTTTCGACGACGATGTTTTGTACCACGATGTTTTAGAACTGCGATGTTTTCTCTTTGCGATGTTTTCTCCCACGATGTTTTGAAGCGCGACGTTTTCGCCTTGCGTTGTTTTCTCTGCGACGTTTTCGTCCGCGATGTTTTTGCTGCGATGTTATCGGCGGACACCTTCTCACACAACTATAAACATTCTTATGCATTCGGAGCAATGTAATTTAAGTGCGAAATCTTTCTAAACGTATAAGGCAATAAAAAACAAAATATATAAACAAATTAAATGCAGAGTATGAAATGCAACTGTAGATCGATACAGCTAGACTTCCAGAGTTTGCGTAAGAAAAGGCAAGCACACTCCTGTCAGTGCACGGATAGATGACACCTGGAGCATAAGTTAATGCTATTAATAATTAAACTGCATGAATTTTATGGTCACTTTTTTAACAAAAATTCAACACCTTCACTTTGTTGTCTTTACATAGTGTACCTAGAACATAATGATCTAATTTAAATACTATTTTTAAAGGGTAGAAAAGATTCCTCGAAAAAACTTTATATTTCTAACTGTTCCGCGAATGGACAAAGTTTGAAGACAACTGGTTAAACTTTTAGCATTTTACAAAATAATCACATTTTACATGTTTGAAAAAGGTTTTCATTTATTAAATAATATCAATGGCTTCTTTTGAATCTTTGAAATATCAAGGAGTGAAATCGTGGCCATACTATTTCGTCTGTACATAATCTTTCAATTAACTACATTTAATCATTTAATGATATGCTATTAATACCAATACGTGGTGAGCAAGTAATTCATTCAAATTATATGTTTTTAAACCCTGCACAAGAACTTTTATCGCCTTAAACAAAATATCCCTTTTAGGATTTTTTGCTTGATGATTAAAGCTTTTCTAATAGTAATTTCAAATAACTAAAGTGTACAATCACATCTTTCCTTTGAATAATGTCGACATAAAAAAAATTGAGTTAATCTATTTCATTTATTCGTTAATACTTTGAAAATGCTCTAATACACTATAATTCATACTACCCAGTTTTACGCAATCGACTAGTTTCCAATTCTACGTGACTGATCATTGCGCAGTTTGTTACGTAATGCAGTTTCCAATAAAGAATAAACTAATATGTTTATGTTTACAATGAGTTAGGGTTATGTTTCGAATAATAATATATATATAATAGTTCTTAATATAATATCACAGTGAATCACAGGATTAGGTATTGCAAAAATTCCGATAACAACTGTTCTACGCCAGAAACATTACATTATGTTGGAAGTAAGTGAGGCAATCTCCATAATACAAATAACGGCGAAACAGCAGTCAGTTTTTAGCAGTTGATCATGTTACGCGTCTGTAGGACAGGAATACACGCACTTAAAAAACAGTGGAAGGAAAAACTGAAAAGGGGGGGGGCTGAAAGAACGCTATGAGATAGCAAGCAGTTGATAGAGAGCGAAAGTGGAAACTAGTAAACAAGACAAAATAGACTCTTACAGTTATTTACGAGAGTGAAATAGATTAGCGTAAAATTGAAGGGCACAGACCCCTTAAAAATTATGTGACGGTGTTTTAGAGACGTGTTAGACAGAGGTCCCAGTGATGTCATCTTCTAGCAGTCAAATCATATATACTAACATATCTTTTACTTTTTGTACAGCAGTATCTAGAATTTCCGAGAACTGACAGATAAAATTTCCAACGATAGAAGAGTGAGACCGAGAAGATTATCTATACTTGCTGGATAAAACAGACTATGCTGTCTAAGTGATAAATTATTTAAAACACATTAAAATAAGAATTATGTTTGCAATCCAATAGGATTTCCATAAAGCCCCTTTCGAGCACCGTTTCATTTTAGGATCAGTGGAAAACCGAATAAAAATTTTTGCATGCTGATGTAAGTTTTCTTATAAGGCTTAATAATGTAGATTTGAACTGATGTATCTATTTCATAAAGTATATCTATTTCATAAATTTAATATATCTATTTCATAAAGGTAAAGATACAGCATTCCTGCAACTCGTTACGAACATTTACTGGAAAGAATGCTTCTGCAAAGGGATTTTGTAGCATTATGGATACGTTTAGGAAAGGGAGTAGAAAACGGTATTATTTGAAAATACTTTGAATGAATGATATTGAATGACCTTAAAATTAAAAATTTGTTTCATTCTTAGATCGATATATTGGGTTAGCAATACAATAATTTCGGTTTTCTCAGATAGATAGTGTTATGTTCGTTTTCTTGTTCTTTTGTCAACATTATACATTTTTTTCTTTTGATATTTGGCAGCTAACACTTTAAGGTTGCTATAGAAACAAATTCCGTGTACTTTCGTTAACAACTGTTAGTTTATGGTCAATTTTAACATGGGATGTAAAAATAAACATTTTTGACATATTTTACTTTTTTATTTTCAGAAAGACATGAAAGCGGCTGAAGCTCATGAAGATATATGTGAAATTTATGGTGTTGATTGCTTAACAGAACGCATGTGTCAGAATTGATTTAAAAAATTTCACGCTGGAGAATTTTCATTTGAAATGATCAGTGTTCTAGCCAACCTTCTGAAGTTGATGATGACAAAATTAAAGTCATAACTGAATTGAATCGTCATATAACTATGTCAGAGATTGCAAAATGGTTAAATGTATTACATATAACAACTGAAAATCACATAAGAGGTCTTAGACTCTTTAAGAAGTTCGATATTTGGGTTCTTCATGAATTGTAGCACAACGAATCAATATTTGAGATACGAATTTCAAACGTAACGCAATCGACCCTTTTTTTAAAAGAATTATCACTGATGATGAAAAATGGATCGTATATAATAATATTAATTTAAAAATGCATGGCACATCATGGTGAATCAGCACAAATCATATCGCAAGCTAAATTGCATCAGCAAAAGATCATATTGTCAATTTGGTGGGATTACAAAGCTGTGCATTTTGAGCTGCTTTCCAAGCAACCAAACGATCCACTCAGATATTTGCTGCCGACAACTTATGAAACAGGAGGAAGCATTCAAAGAGAAAAAAGGTCAGAATTGGCAAATCGCAAAGGAATCGTACTCCACTAGGACAATGCGAATCATCACATATATTTAGCAACACGTACGAAATTGTTGGAGCTTGTTTGGGAAGTGATGTCGCATCCCCCATATATCCTATCTCCGAATCTGCACCATCGGATTACCATTTACTTCGAAGTTTACGAAATTCTTAAATGATAACAATTTGAGTAATAACGATGAATTGAAATCGCACTTGGTTGAGTTTTTTGCTGATTAAGACCAGAAGTTCTATGAGCGCGAAATAATTAAGTTACCAGGAAAATGAAGGGAAGTCACAGAACACTGATTGAAGTTAATTTTTTTTAATATGGAAAAAAAAGTTTTATTTCACACTGAAAACAGAATTACTTTATTGCCAACTGCGAAAATTTTACTTTAGATCTTCGTGCATATAACTTAACCTAACTGAGTTATATTCAAACGAAAAACATTGCATGATCTTTATTTAAGACGTCGATGATTTAAAAATGTTAATCCAAATCAAAAATTTAGAAAACTATATTACGTAGCAAAATTTTAGAATCATATCAATAGTCTGCTTTTTTTTTAAGTACATGGTTGCATTTTATATTTATG